GTTTAGAGCTTGAGTCGAACTGTACTGCGGTTTGTATGGACGGTGCGTGTCTAAAATGTAAGCATGTTGATGTATCCACGCTGCCCCCGGTGGTGTCGGGATGTCATGCCGTGCTCTGTCTGAAGGGAGACGGGGGATTGTGCCCTCTGGATGTGTCGCGCTGTGATGGCTGGTAGAGTCATGCACGCAGACAGCTGGATACTAGCATCTCCAGGGGCCAAAGGACGAGTGGGATAAGAGAGTGGAGAGTGGAGGGGAGAGTGTATATAAAAACACTGAAGTATTTGTAAGTGATGTCCATTATATCAAGCACTTGAAGTCGCGTGTGGTTCATTGGGGATCAAGTTAAGTTGTACTGTATTGTATTGTCCCAGTGGGGAAATGTGTCCTCTGCATTTGACCCATTCTTCCATTTCAAGATGTTGATGCTCGGCTTGGCCAAGACTACCAGAGCTAGAGGATTTTTCCTATTGTGCATATTTTTAGAAAACTGGAGAACTGGGAAGAAACCTACCCAGACACAAGGAGAACTTGCAAACTTCACTCAGAAAAGCCCTGTTCAGACCGGAATTCAAACCCAGGACCTTCTTCCTGAGAAGCAAGAGTGTTTACCGGTATTGGGTTTGTGAAACAAAAGTATAATTTGAGTAACGTAGAACTGTAACGATAATCAGCCAGAAGGAAACTTTGTCATGGAGGGAAAGCTCTGAGGCAGCAAGCGATTTCCTACTGCAGCCAACTCAACCAAACCCTTTAAAACTCTTGCAACGTCAACCCTCAACTATTAAGCTAGTCGCTAAAGAGCGTAGCAGCACAACACCGACACAGTTTGACCAGACGCTGTCAGGTCAAACCTCAAAGACTAAAATAAATAGACTTGTTGTGGCCTACGTTGTAGAAGAGATGGCTCCCATTTCTACTGTAGAGCTGCAGTCTTTCAGAAACATTTGACACTAATACAAACTGCGGATGGATTGGACAGTACAAGGACAGAAAAACATGACTTAGTTACATTCAATTATTAATGTAACTTAGTGATATTTGTAATGTTATTTTCTTGGGGCAGAAACAAGGTAATGCAATTACTTTTTTTTGTAACTAGTAATTTGTAACTAATTACACTTTCAAATTAACTTACCCAGCACTGGAGCTAACCATGCCGCATCTAATCACAATATTTGTGAGCAACACTGTTGAAACAACAAGTTTCAATATCCTCTATCCTCTGTTTAGAACTCATTTTGTTCAGAGTAAAAATGTTGATCATCAAATACACAATTCTTACACATTTCATAAATTGTTTCGAGAAGTAAATTGTGCAAGTAGTTTAGTAATAACTGTATCTAGCGGAATCATTTTTTACAAAAACAAAATGTAAATACAGTAGGAACTTTGAAGTAGAACTGGACACAGGACAACAATATCTTCAACGTGAAGCCTTTAAGTGCACTTTATCTGATTATTAGTGTTTCAAATCTCTGATGCTGCAAAAAGCCCCTGAAACTCTTCACTCTTTCTGAATAAATGAAAAGCTACAATAAACCTCAGGTGGTGATGGTTGTGCCACACGTTTTGATAGTTTCAACTTAAACATAAATATGAAAAGGAGGAGCTTTCCCATTTGGAAAGAGAAAAGATACTTCAATATATTCAAATCAGTTTAGTTCCCAAATCAAAGCAACGTTTAACTTTTTTTAGTCCTGTTTTAGTTTGCAAAGAACTTAAATAATGGCAGTCTATGAATTTATTTTTATTTTTATTGTGATTAACCGTGCAGTCCAAATTCTGAGCCTGAGCAATATATGTCTGTTTACTTCTATTTACTTCCTTCCATCCGTTTTGGAAATTCATGAAGAAACAAATGTCAAGGATGTTTTATTAGTTTCTATCACCTCCCAACAGAGTCAGACATACTTGTGCTACACTTGACCTTGAGTTTCTGCAATATTGATTAAAAGGATATTAATCCAAACCGAGCTTGTGTAGAAAGGATCAAACGATCACTCCATAAAAACGTATGCAAGGCTGAAAATAATTCACTTTCAACATTGCACAATATTACCGAGCTTCACTCAAGCACTGCCAGAATCAACTTAGACAACTTTCTTATCTCTTCACTGTCACATCAAACACATTCACCTATCAATAGACTTCTTGAGCATGAAGACCTTGACAGCACACGTTTCCTTTATAACTTGTTCCTCCAGGACAAATTATATAAAAAAAAAACCTATCAATAATAAGTTAGAACTTCTGTGTAAAGCCTATAGACCCAATCCATCAAGGCGTAAAAAGTCACTCAATACCCTTTTAACAGGTTTGGGTGTGTGGAAAAGGCACAGGGGGGAAAGTGAGAGGCAACAGGGAAGCGATGATGGTGAGAATAATTGAGATGGACAGATACGACAGCGGAACAAAGACATCCTAAATCAGGGGGAGGGGTGCCATACTGTCGCGTTCTTTTTAGGAAGGACTGGAACAAAGACAGGGTGATGATGAGTACTGAAAATGTGCTTTAGATTCAAGACCCTAGACCTCAGAGAACTATGGATCAAACATATCATGAAATAATTGCCAGTTATTTGAGGGTAGGTAGGAAATAAGATACTGTCCAGTACATATAGCCCTACTGGCCATTACATTGGACCACTGGTTTGTGGTCCATAGTGTTCCTATTCAGTAAAAACAAGACCAACAAAATCATTTAATATTTGTAAAAGGGCTACTTTAGTTCACTAGACTTGTCCAGGGCCTGACGACATGGATTGCAACACTGATTTTACTGGATGTTGGCTGCTATGGGGTTTTAAAATGGGATATTATGGGTCATTATGTAAATTAGAATGTTTCCATAGATCAAATACATTTTTAAATAAAGAAAAAACAAACTAAATACTGAGTAATGTAGTGCTAAATAATGCCTGACCGAAAAGGGTTTAGGCTGATGTCAAGACTTTTATACTGCCAAACCCCTATTGCAACATTACACATCCAAATGAGACAGTATACAGATATACAGTATGTCCATATTGACTCACACCACATGTACATTAGCGCCAAATATGTAAATTAGCGGGGGAATAAGCACAAAATGTCAGTATATACGTTTTTTTCTTTTTCTTGAGGTTCTAATCTTTATTGGTGGAGCTGAGGTTGGCTGGATGACATTGTGAAAGGACCTCAATGGCCACTTAGTGCTCAAAAGGCAGAGGGCACATATGTAAAATGACGCTACGGGCCGCATTTGGCTCGGGCATTAGTTTGGACATGCCATACTGAACAACCACATCTGAGTTCATTGTTCCTCAGCCCCTTTTGACAATTACTGAAACTTCTACACAGCAATACAAAAAGTGTTGATTGAAACGTTTCCGAACTTTTCACATCTCACTAAAAGTCTTGTCTATGGGAGGAGAGGGCAAGATAGAGAATGGAGATAGAGCGAGAAATGACTGATTAATAGCTCCGATTCGCTTATCTGGTACTTCTCGAATACTTCAGAGGAGGAAATGAGCTGGCTGTCGCATTTGGAAACCGATCGGCTGGTAATAGAGCTGACTAATTGACAATTTCTCCATAACAGCAGTGTCCCCGTGCGCACGTAAGCTCCTTGAACATATTACAAGGCTGCCCACTCACCCTCTGGTCCCCCACTAAAGGCCTTTCTCTTCAAAGGGATAAGATGCAATAATAATAATAATAATAAAATGGTCGCTTTACATGTAGACAAGCCAACACGCACACGCCATCGCGGTCTAAAGCTGAGCCCATGGCATTAAGGCCATCCTGCCACTTCTAATAACATCTCCGCTGGACGCAGTAGGCCATGGCACAGTGTCCACTCCGCTCTGATCTTACGCTGCATCTGTCTTAAGCCCGATTTTCACCACGTGTGCCCGACAGATTGAGAACTTCTTATGGCGCTTTCAATTAGCGCTCTGATTTCACCACCAAACAAACAGAATCCTACTGAGTGCAAGAAAGTCAATCTGTAAAACATGGCATCACTAGAGCGTGTGAAATGGGTGTTGATCAGAATGTTGGCTGTTGCAATCCGTCTCCTCACTTAAACAAAGCATGAGAACACACAGTAAATTCAAGAACTATTCTAAATTTGTTATCAAGCCCGTCAGCAGAGTTTTGGCCCCATCTCTGTGCACCCTGCGGAGAAGTCGCTAAGAATCCAGACCTTTGGATGCCTTCAATGGCGTCTCGTAACTTCCCCTTATCACTCAAACTTTGTAACTGTAATTGTAAAAAAATATATCTATCCTACGTATATTTTAACAGAAAAGACTTGGTGAATGTAATCACACTAACATTGTTTTACTTAGCTGCTGCAGCATTAATCACTGTATTATTGTGACGCTCTCGAAAGCACCATGGTTCCTGTTGAGATTTATTTTTGCTTTGCGTAACTAAACAAAACCAAACACGTGCAGTACGGGCGTGTGTATTGATATACCCTAAAACAAGTTGGGCTTTCCCATATGCGCTCAAACGCATCACTGCCCGATATCTCATTCCAATCCGATTTACGCGTATACATGCATTCTCAACTGCTTTAAAATTGGCAGGCACTGATCTTTCACTCCTTAACTTGCTCACATGGAGTTTACATGTGTCTTTATCAATCAGTTCATCAGATAGTGCATTGTAAACCCACTCACGGTTAGAATAGATCAAATGGAGTGATTCCAGCTGGTACAGATCACAAATACTATCGTGGCCTTGGGCAAGACAGTTCTCTCCGAATGCGATTCTTAAAGAAAGAGCTGCCCCTTGATGTAAAACTCTTTCAGCGTGTGAACTACAGACAAACTGTAGAAATACGACCATTTACCATTTTTATACACTCTACACACTTAGGAGTATCTTGAATTGTAACTTGTTTTTGCCAACCAATATAAATATACTATGAAAGGAATTGTTCTGAGCCTACAATCTCAATATGATACAAACAAGTGACCCACAGCTACACAGTACATTGTGTATCTCACCAGAATCCTGTCTTCCGACTTGCCGCTCCTCGTGTCCTGCTTGATGGCTCGCACAAATTTAATGGGTTGCTTATCCAGCACCTTCCTGATGCTCTCTGAATAGGGGAGGAGAAAAAACACAAGAAAAAGCAGAAAAACTAATTATATAATGAAAAACAGAATGAAAACTCTGCCCTGGGATGCACTTAGACGCACCATAAAAAGCTTTTACTGGGGAGAAATCCATAAATGTTAACAGTGGCCATGTTTGCCAAACCAAAGGTATAATAAAATGGAGTCAGACCATATGACAAGTAGCGTATGGAACATCGTTTTTAATTTGGCTTCTTTTCAGGTCACAAATCATCCGCCTCATTGTGTGCAAGGGAAGTGCATTTGGTTTGGAATAAAATGTAAGATAAGAGAAAACATGAAGAAAATTTGCTTCTGTCAAAAGTTATCTTCTAAGACTATATCATTTATCTGCTTAGTAATACTCTTGGCTTACAGGTGGAGCCTAGTTCAGTGATGTAACATTGAAGGACACTATCTCAAGGGTGAACAGTCAGAGCAACGTGCACAAAACCCCAAACAAAAAAGACACAAAGCACATACAACACACGGTCTGGCCAACCTCTATCTGAAAAGGACTCATAACTGGGCTATTTTTAGACCGGGATAGAGGCGGAGATGCGGCTCCTCTCGTTTCAATGGGACCAGGCGGCGACAGGATCAGGGGCTACCATCGTCAGGGCCCCACATGAACTACCGAACCAGTGAAATGATAAGCGGGGGGTCTTAACCAATTAAAGAGCATGCCACATTCCACCCTCCAAATACAATGTGTTCACTGGCAGGAGGGCAAAACATTACGACCACCGGAAAAAGTCAAGCCGGACTTGTTTTCCCGTGGGACTTGTTACAGAAGCTGAAGATGTTGTCAGCAGCAGAACTTGCACAATAGAGATGGCTTTTTAGAGTTGTCTGATGTTTAAATCCGGTGTGAGAAATTGCATGTGCAGTCAGTGGAGTGTTAAATCCTGTTTCCCAATGGTAGAATGTTGTAGGTGGTGTTTGAGAGAAGAGAGCTTTTATACGTGCCACAGTGGGGAAATTTCAGTGTTGCATCACAAGTTACAGAACAGTAGGAATGAGGAGCACACAGCACAAGATAAATGAATAATAACTCTAGTCTAAGATAAGATAAAATAAAATCTCTAACTCTAGCATAAAAAGAAGCAGTATAAAATCTGTATCTTTCGTATAATAAGGAAAGAAGTCTTAAAATCTTCAACTTTAGCATAACGAAGAAGCGAGAATCGAAAGGAGCAAGTATATTTGACCTTAACATGTTTGCACACTTCTGTCTTTTTGCACAATCTGAGTGATTCTATCTATGCCGAATGTGACATAGATTTCTCCATTGTGAGATCAATAAAGTTTGTCTTATCTTATAAAATACTGCATATTCCTGTGTAAGAATTATATAGTTGTGTGTTTACATCTGTGCATGTTAGCAGCATGAGGGTCTGGGACAAAGTGACTCGGTAAAGCGACAGTAACAAATGTGGTTCTATACTGTATATATAGTTCACAGTTTTTTTGAGAAAGTGAAAGTATAGGAGGGTATCTTTCTCAATATATGGCCAGCAAATGAAACTGATTTGTAACTGTGTAAATCTAAAAAAGAGCTGAAAACGGACACACAACTATTGACAGCCCTGTGTGGGAATATGACTTGGCAGCAGTTTACTGCATATGACCTTATCTACAAACCATTAAAAACATTGCGACCATATTGAACACATATACAACTATAAATAGGCACAGGATGTGTCTGCAGCAACAGTCCTTTTTAATGCTGTCTTCGTATCATGTATCATGCTGATTCATTACGCCCTGGTGTGTCAGCTTCTGCTTCTTTCAAAACCGTGCCCACATCTTGTCATGTGTGGAGACCAAACAAACTTATCCCTCAGTGAAAGCAGGTCTGAACAGCCTTAGTAGAGTTGGGGGCAGCCTCAACACCTCTAAAAGGATCAAGGCAAACAGAACGCTTTGGACGTTAATCTGGATATAAGAACTTGGTTAACCTTGGCATCTGCTCTCATAAGGGGTCACAAAGGGCAAAAGAGGTCAACAACAACCCCTAATTGCTTATTTCCAGCCCAATTCAAGCTGAAATCCCGCATTGCCTTTGTGACAGCTTGATGGATCTTCTCACCTTCCTCTTCACCAAATGCCCCCTGTTTGATCCCCAACGGTGCTGAGTGGCAGGTGTGTGAATGGCCTAATGCACAAGACCAGACAGACGGAGACCTGGTCAGGACGTAAACAGGGATTTAACTACTTCAAGATCATTAGTAACCACGTAAGCATGCATTTCCGCGCAACTTGGTGTCCATGAGCGTGCATCCAAGACAGAGCATGCCCCACGCATCTCTTACGCAATCATATAACAAGATATCACAGCAAAAACCACACATTCAAACTGCTCTGGCAGCTCACAAGACCCCAGCGTGTGATAAATTTCACTGGGAAAATCAATTGCAGAGTCAGAAAGCGCACTGAAATCGATGAAGTTATACACAATACGCAAAATCAATGACATGCGTTTCGCCAGAGGGGGGAATTGTGTCCTTATGTGTAAATAACATCACAGCAAAGACTATTGTCGCTAAATGAATATAGGATTTCTGTAAACGCTCCAGTTGAGTGTAGCTCGCTCCCGGGGTAGTATACGCGCACTTGTGCCAAACTCAAGCCGAAGTTTTACCTGTGATTTCCCGACTGACGCTGGCAAACCCCGTAACCGTAGATGCTGTGTCCTTTGAGGCCATGGTGCGCTGCGCTCCACCAGCCTCTCTCCTCGGTCTGGTACTATACTAGTTCTGTGTCTTTTTTCTCGCGGGTGCCCCCTTGTAGATCCGTGTTTTATTTTTTTTTATTTTTTTCTTCTCCTTCTTTCTTTTTTCTTCTGCTTTTTGGAAGTGCCTCCTCTCTGAACGCCCGCAGGTGCAGCAACAGCCGCTACGTAAAGTGATGGGAAGCGACGCACGGCACCCCAGGACACTCCGCGGCAGAGGAGGGGAGAGAGAGGAGCGCTGTAGAGGAGGAGGAGGAGGAGGAGGGAGGGAGGGAGGGTTATCACTGGGCTATGCATTAATATTTTAAAAAGATTAGAGCTCAATCTGCATATTTTGGAACTTAATGTGCGAAATGATATGGCATTGGCACAAACAGCATCGAATCCACAGCAGACAAAAATAGCCTCTTCAAGTAGGGTAATGAGTTTACCAAAGTCATCTTGGAGTAATTTGGCCCTAAAACTGCGGGTGATTTGTTTGATTGGACAGAAATGGTAATGCTCCAGGCGGCGGGTTTAAGTTCTTTGTGTTTGGTTGAACACCTGCTATACTGGATATATCCCAAAGACATCGCAGCATAATGGTCTAATATTAGCTGCACAGATAGCTGCTGTGTGACAGCTGCTGAGGTGATCTGTAATAACATAAATTCTATACGTTTAAGCAGATCATGATGTGTCTGCAAAGCTGGGGTACCTTTATTAAATGACTTTATTCATTCAGAAATTATATGAACAGTGATTAGACCACAACATACAGTCTAGATCTTATTAGAAAATATGTTATCATTTTGCATGTGAGAAATAGCCCCGTGAGTCACACTTTGGACTGAGAGCTGATTGGCTGAGTGTGGGTGGTCCTCTTGTTTTTGCTATTCTTTAAAAAAAATAAAAATAAGGTGACATACTGTATACCAAAAATATATAGTGTTAAGAGTTTATTGTGAGTTTATTTCATATTTTATTTTTGTGGTTTGAAAGTTAGGTCCTCCAACTTAAACAAGGTATAACACGTTAAATAATAGCCTAAAGAACACTTAACTATTATTATTATTATTATTATTATTACCATTAGAAGGTGCCCCTATAGGCACCAAAGTACTGCATTTGCTTCTGAATCCAGGACACATTACAACAACCTGGTTGCGCATTTCCTTTATAAACTTTTTTGTTCATTTATTCCCTGTATTGATTCCTGTTTCCTCTATCTTTTATAGAGTTGCACGGCTTTTGTCTGTTTCACATCAAACTTCTGAAAAATCTATGCCGCCTATAGGGCTATCTACCGAAATCACCCAAAACTGGCACAATAGGAACTTAAAAGAGCACTATATTTTGACTTATATTGTTCTTTACTGCACATCTTGCCTCTCTATACCATAAAACTCGAAGGGCATGCAGTTCATATATCATTGTCTCTATAGTTGTCTGGGAAAAATTGTATCCCCTTAAAATTGATACAGTCCTCATCACAGAAGAGCCTGTGTGTTTGTGGGAACCGGAACTTGGGGTGGAGGTGCACAGGTCTCTGGTGTCACTGTTGCCCTGGGAGAGTCCTGAAGCCATGGGAAAGAACCATCTTCACGTCACTCAGTGCATGTGTGAGAGACCTTTGTGCCACTGTCTCCCTGATTCTTCGGTAATAAAGCAAAGCCCAGCGGGGGGCTTTATGGAAGTTCAGGCAGAGGCGGTGACAGATATAGGCAGCATGCAAAAGGCCAAGCCAGCCATGGGAGCAGTTGAGAGAATCAACAATTACTCGAACAATTATACTTCTTCAACTTCTACGACTGTAAATTTCCTTCCTCGGATGTTCTCTGCCTTTTGAAGAACAATAAACCATAAATGCATATACCATGCTGCAAACACATTCAAAAATAACCATTTAATGTTTATGATATCACACAGTTATAATCAGTGGCATAAATATGTCACACACCTTAAGAATGAATAATCTTGTAACGTGCTGTTCAAAGATGGACCTAAGGACTTGAAAGATTTGGCACATTATGTATTCATCAAGGCAGCATGAGAGACTGATTAAGACCTCAACCATGACATCTAAACAAGGTCGTTTGAGTGACATCATGCATGTTCTGACTTATGTTTAAAGACAGAAGCGTGTATAAGATTGTTTAGGTGTTATTATAGTGATGATAGTGCGTAGGAAGCTTGGCAGACAACAAGTAGTATGTGTGACCAAACAACATCTGCGGCGTGACAAATATGTGAACAATCCACTGTCATACCAACACTTTAAGATTCAGAATCGATGGATCTCGGATGCACAGGCCTCTGCATCTCCTGCCTGAGAGCCTTAGCACCTGCTGCGTAACGTTGCTCCCATAACGTGAAGCAATAACTTGAGTCGATTCTTCAAACCTTTGATGTGGAGGTACCGCGGGGCCTCTGTGCAGGGGGCTGCAGGGGGCGCTCTGAAACCTGGTGTATACTGCCCTCTCGCGGTTCAGCGCAGTACAAGCATGTTCACAGGCAGGAACTATAACAATGACGGGAGCCAAAAGGCAATGATTCAATTAGTGTTGAAAATAGTTAGGGCTGTCAAGCGATGTGTAATACAACACTAGAAAGGGATATTCACTTTGGTACAAAGTCAATGTATCTAGCCTTACATAAGGCCCTAAATGGATTAGTTTTATACTGATCATAATACTAAGGCAATCGTTGTTCATTGTTTCCGTTTCTTTATACAATCAATAAGTGTGAAATGTTTTAATATCTTTAATCTGCCTGTGCATAATCTTCACACAAGATTAGATGATGCAAGATCATTTCCATAGAAAATTTTAAAATAAAACAATTAGATATTATGAAAAGGAAAAGGTCCAGCAGTTTGCTCAGTTATTTGACTTTCTCTTCTAAGCTAATGACAGCTTCAGTGTTGACCTTGAAAACAATTACCATAATGTTCCAGCATTGCCTCATCAGTGAGTTTAATAGTGATCAACAAAACAGATGCTACAGGAGGAGAGTTTATGGAGAGCACACCAGAGGCTGAATGCATGCTATAATAGTCCAGCTGATACAAGCTCTTTTATTCTTCTCCAGCCCCAGGGGGCACGAGGAGAGCACTCCTACTGCTGTTAAGGAACGGATGCTAAGCATCCTGGAGTTTAGTTTGAGGATGGTTTGGTATAAAACATTATTTCCGCTCCAGCTGTTGACTTGTCTGATATACAGAGTTTATCACTGACTTCATTTGAAGACAACGTACTGTAAGTGTTGGGAAAATATTATAACACTTTGAGTCTTATAACCTGAGAATTGTTGAATGTTTTTGTGTTCAATCCATAAATCTTTTATGAATTGCAGAAAAATAACAATGCTAATCATTTCAGCAATTGTAATTAAAAGTAGAATTTACAATTTAAAGTCTGCAAGCGACACTCACTTCTTCAGCACAAACAGACATTGAAGGATGGGTCTAATTCAGACAAATTGGACCCATTTGAATTACATTTTTTTGTAAACTGCAAATGGCTGAATAAATGAGCTAACTAGAAATAGACAGAGTCTGGCCTGTCAGGCTAACCAGTTGCAGAACTAGACAAATGGACAGTAATGCACAAACCAACAAACACTCAGTCAATTACTGATAGAACAATATCTCAGAAGAACACAAAGTCACAGTGAAGTGACAGAAGACACTTCACTGAGACACAAAAACACACACGAGTTTATGCTACATGATGTGATTATCGACTGTGTCTAAAGAACAATGGGCCTCATTCACGAATAACTTTGTAAGAAACTACTCAACTTTCTTCTCAAGTTGTCCTTAAGTAGATTTCTAAGAAGTCCCCACGTGGGATTCATCAACGCACTCGTAAGCCGCTGAATTGTTCGCAGCTGTTCTCTCAGATTGATGAATCCCATTTCCTCGTAAGTACAGCGCGCGTGCCAGGTGCTTCATTAGCATAGGTACTTAGCATAAGTAACCGCCCACTAATGCCCATATAAGGGGATGCAGGGCCGTGTGCAGACGGCTGAGGAAACAGCAACAGGCCTAAAGCAAAGAGTTACACGGAGCAAAAGAGTCACCCTTTTTTCTTCTTTTACCAGACTGAGAATAAAGTTATAAAATGTTGACTTAAAAGTCGAAATATTATGATAATAAAGTCGAACTAGCAAAATTATGAGATTAATCTAAGAATATGATGAGATTAATCTCAAAATGTTATGAGCTTAATTTAAAAATATATTATGTATTATTTTAAAGATGAATCTCAAAATGTTTTGAGATTAATCTCAAAATATTTTGGACCCTGGGAGGAGATCCAGCGCGGACCAGCGCTGAGACCAATGCAGACCCGAGGAGAGACTGGAGTGTCCAGCACACAGAAACCAGCGCGGACCTATAGGAGAGACCGCATAGACTGGAGTGACCTGACTGGAGAGACCGGTGCGCAGAGACCAGCGCGGACCGAAGATAGACCGCATAGACCAGACTTGAGAGACCAGCGTGGACCCGTATGGATCCAGGAGCATGCAGCACGGACCCGTATGGAGAGAGACCAGTGCAGACCCGTATATGGGAGAGACCAGTGCAGACCCGTCTAGATCCATGGGAGAGACCAGTGCAGACCAGTATAGATCCATGGGAGAGACCAGTGCAGACCCGTATATGGGAGAGACCAGTGCAGACCCGTATAGATCCATAGGAGAGACCAGCGCAGAGACTCAGCGCGGACCCAGTAACCTCCTGCAGCAGCAGTATATATGCCGTTGTTCTGTGGCCCGTGGATAAAGAAATGCCCCCTATAAATAGGAAGGGGTCACTAATACACGGCAAGATTTCCAATGTATTTGATAAAGCGTTGGCACATTTCATTTCAAAATGAATAAAAAAGTAGGCCAGATCTGCAGTGAAAAAGGCGGTATATAAATAAAGATTACTAATAAAGATTACTACAAATAAATAAATACATACATCGATATGACGGACATATCACT